GGGATAAAAAGAGATCAGGGGGGGGGGGGGGAACGCATTACAACAAAACCAACAGATATTCACAAGCTTTACGTGCATTTTGCATCTTCTTGCATATTGTAATGATGCCAATTGTAACATTTTTAAAGTCCACTGTCGTGAAAATCAAGCTTTTAATTTTGTTTTTATGTCTATGTGGTGTTTTTAATATGCTTTAAGACAAACCATGTGTAAATTCATAAGTCGAAAACTGCAGTGAACCAAAGACAGTCTCAAAAACACGGTTTGAAATCGCTGGTGTTTCTGACGTCACAAACGACCTTGTAACCAATCAGGAGTGTGTTTCCCGAAAGCATCGTTATCCAACTATGATCGCAATTTCCATTGAACTCTATTGGTAACGACGGAACTTGCGACCATAGTTGGCTTTGGGAAACGCACCCCAGATCAACGTGTGATCGTCAACCAGTGGATCTCTGAGCTGAGTGAGTGAGTGGAGGCGGGGCTCATTTGCATATTCATAGAACCGGGTATACTAAATGAGGCAAGGGTGTCGAGTTACATTCAAGATATTTTAAGGCATGAAGAAGGAAAAAACTTTTAAATATGTCATTTTGGTGATTAAAGAGTTAAGGTATAAAATTGACTACAGGGGGACTTTAAAGCTCAATGACAAGCACAATGTCTCATTCACTTGCTGATTCAAATGACTTTTGACTTTAAGGGTAGAAAAGATACTTTTTAAATATGCGAGCACATGGCCAACATGTGGTCCGGTTGAATATACACATGAACGCTCTTGCGCTGGTATTGCAGTAACAAGTCGATGGTTACATTCAATTGCCGCTTATATTAAACCTGATTCAGGGAAGTTGCTCAACAAGATTCACTTTAAACTGCCATTTCACCATGACAGTAGCTGACCTAAAAGAGAAAATTAACCATAAAAGACATTCGTGCCAAAGTTTCCCGCTGCACTGGGTTACGAGACATTTACATTCTGGGCGTAAAATTTGGTGTAGAAGCGATTTTCACTCAGAAATTGCTAGTAAATTTAAGACTGAAATAGAGTTCTCTTCTAAAATGTACTCTAATAATCTTTTTAACTTTACAGTGCAGTAACTTCATGCCATATTTGACACTTTCTGTGGACTGGTGACGTGAATCAAGCGCCCTGGGGGGATTTAAGATGGTTTAAAAATTATAAAGGAAAAGGGTTTTCTTCTGAGACTTTGTTTGCTCTCTTTTCATGAGTGTCCTGTGAATGTTTGCAGGGCTTTTATTTCATTCTGACGCTGACGTTTTGTTACATAAGACACAAAGCGCAGCCCACCTTACAGCTCAAATCCCTCTAAATATGACGGATGTGCAGGTCCATCAATGTTCAGACATTTTTTTTGTGCAAAAATTGCTATTTAAAATGTATTAAACGCAGCTGACAGAACTAAATTCATATTGGTAGCTGAAAACCAATTAATTAGCCAAAATATTGTCATGTCAAATTGAACTGAGCAGCAGATTCTGTAAGAGTTTACTAAATCTATACAGCTTTGTTTTCCATGTATCTGCTCCAACACACTGTGCTGAATTATGGGAATAAAAAACAACTTACAGTACATGATGTGTCTTTCATGGTACATCTTGTACATTGATCAGATTAAAGATATTTTAAACATAACTGATATTCAAGACATTATGACTGAATGAACATGCAGATTCACTCTCTGACAGTAGGTGGCGCTTACAGTCAGTCAAACACTATTTACGCGTTTATAAAACAACACAGAAAATAGTAATGTGTTCGTGAGCGCCAACAAGTCATAGTTTTATGTAACGGCAGCGGATTCGGACGTTATCAAATCAAGAATCGTACGTTTCTGAAAAGAAATAAAATTACCTCTCAATAAAAAATTTAAAAATCCATCTTACCGACAGCATGTGAACGCTTGTCTGTCTGAAAAGCCGGATTAACGGTTGTTCTTTTAAATTAAAATGTTTATTGCACAGAAATTCCACACTATATTGCCTTGGTGTGAGGACTAATTCAACCAGAAAAATCAGTCAAGTCTCTTGACAGATTCATTAAAAAGCAGACATTTGTTTGTGACACAACTACACTGTGTATTTGTTTTTGTGTGCAGCCAGCAGAGAAAATGCACCAGAAATGCATTGTCTATTTATTGTCTGTAATACAGATTTATAGTGTGAATGCATGGGATTGATAGTAATACTTGTATAAATAAGACTAAAATGAATATTATTAGTGCTAACATATATATATATTTATATTAGGCTTGCTACGGTAGTCGATGTTACCGGTGTTACACGGTGTTCAGTCGCAACACCGGTTTCATCACTTGCCCACGCGGCACCGCAAAAAATATATATGTATTTAACGCAATTACGCAGTATCCGTTTTTTTCTGTTACCCGTTGACTAGCGTGATCACGCTCTTATTAATGTGAATGCTTTTAAGACTAAAGAGACCACGCTGTAAGTCCTGCCTATTACACACACACACACACAAATAGAAAAGACGCGTCAGTAGTATCGAATTCTCTTTTGAGCTTGAACAAACCGTAACACACAAATTATGTCAAAATGTCGGATTTGTCGAGTGTCCTCATAAGATCAGTCTTAAATTATTTAAATAAATTCTTAAATGAACGTAGGGATTTGTGAGAAAATGGGAGTGTCAGATCGCGTCTTTGTCAGCAGCGCCTGGTCTTAAAGTGTCATTATGTTAATCAAAGAACGATAAGAGAGTAAATGACTCACTCAGACCCGGAGCCAGGAGGATTATTACACCGGTAGCCTAATAATCATGAATGCACTGCTATCTTTAACACATCTCCGGCGAACGGCTTCTTCACGCAAAAGAAAAACTCTTCATGAAGCGCAGTGAAATTCAGCGACCTATGGCGTTTCCTGATGGATCGAGGTTGTTCGTTGACTTATTTTTTTACGTGCAATTCACACGAGCTCAAAGTGCATGCGAGACTGCTGCGAGTAGTCAAACTTTTATTAATGAAACAGAAAATCAGAGGGAATCATTTCTGTAATGTTTTTTTTTTTTTTTTTACTGGTTGGCCGGTCACACGGGTTTCATAGTTTTCAGTTACGTGACTGGTGCTGTTCTGCCCGTGCAAACGCGCGCATTTTACGTTTGCCTTTAAATTAGCTATTTAAATGGCCCTGCCGGTGATACCGGTATTCCCGGTGTTGTCACACGTCGATTAACCGGTGGGAAAATATCCTCACCGTCACATCCCATATATATATAAAAACTTGCAGTTTGAATGCACCCTCCAACCCTGCAAGATCACTTTGGTTTTTTTCCCCTACGGATTTGGAAATATAGGCCTAATCCATTTCCATGACCATGGGAATCCTTTCATATTGATTGTGTGTTCAAGTCGACATGAAATGAAAGTCGCGCTAGTCTTTTCTTCTCTATTGTGTATATCAGTGTGAAACGCTTCTGGAACAAGAACAAATGTGGGCGTGGCTTGATTTTCTATGGGGATTTTGATAGGATGGTTGTGGTTTGCTATTGGCTGATCACATGTGAGTGACAGGTTATAGCCCCGCCCACATCATCAGAGAAGAGATGCTGCAAGAGGAAGATATTCTGATTCAAGATTACCAGGAACATGAATTTAAAAATAGACGTGCATGGATAAATAATTTATATAACAGACACTGCAATATTCCATAAAAACCAGTCCATTTTGATTTCACAGTGACTAAGAATCAGGTGTGTAAAGTGTGATTCATTTATACCCTGCAGAGTTCAGCTCCAAACTGAATGAAACTGAAACCAGCCAATTATATCGTCAAGATTCCCGACACTACAGGAAAACTGCAGGACGGGAACCCTGTGACAGGGATTTATAGAAATGATATTTGAGAGCATTAATGTTTCAGATGTATAACAGTACTCGTGTAAAGTGTGGTAAGACATACAAGTGACTTTTGAGTGTCAGCTGTACAAGAACCAATGCTATTTGAGCGTATATGTAATGTTTTTAGCAGTGTGTGAGAGCATGCGTGATGTGTGAGTGTGTGTGAGGCAGGGCTGTGTCTTCATCAGTCGCCATCTTGTTGGCTGCAGCAGCTGTAGGCCGTGAACACACACACACACAGAGCACATAAACACACTAGTGCTGACACACACACGCGCGCGCGCCCGTGTACATGTTTCAGCAGGACAGTAGATGCGCTTTGAACGGACACCGGCATTATTACATACAATCACAGCAATATGATTGCGAACTGTGATGAAACACACTGATGCTGCTCTTCCTCATTGACATTTCCGCCACGAACACAACCGTAAATCACTCGTACACAACACACACACGTTAAACAGATCGAGAAAATCCCATTAACTCCCGTTTAAGGTCGTTAAAAGCACAGGCTCAGGGTTAAAAACCAATCAAAGAAGCACTTCGATCACACACACACATCCGCGAGAGTCCGGTGTTTGAGTGCTTTATCGAGGATTTATCATGGCGAAAGATGATATTTAAACGCACAAACAGTGCGACTCCATGATGAAGTGAAGTGGGGGAGGTAGCTAGTTTGGCTTTATCCTCCATCTTCACTGTCCATTTCATCATCATCATCATTTGCACCAGTGCAGGCTTAAAATACTCAGCAAACCAGGATTTAAATTTAAAAATTTAAACGAAGAGACCGTTTAACAGCCTTGTAACGGAAATGCGAGTGCCCGATAGCAGAAATCACCTGACAGTATTTAACATGAATATGGAGCCCGATTATGAGTGCTGCTAGTCAGCTAACACTGCCACATGACCGTGATTTGAGGAAGTTAACACATACTAAACCCACTTATGTGGCCTAGTAATTTGATATTTGCTGCACACATTGACAAATAAAGCCACAGTGAGTGTTAAATGTGTTTGTGTGAGTCCAGCAGCGGCCCCCACCCCAACCGAACCCCACAACAGCCGAATACAGGCAATCAGGCGACCGTTAAAGAGAAGATAAACACTGACCTGTGTTTTCTCGGGACAGTTCGTTGTGTGTGTATCATTGACTGTAAACAGCGAAGAGGGCTCCACAGCTGCCCGACCCGCAGACAGTCCGTCAGTCAGTCAGCGGAGAGCGGCACTCCCCGAACCCGCAGCCGCGACAGCTGCAACCGCGCCGATTCTTGCCCAAATAACGCAAGCTTCACGCAAACGCCTTGTGGTAAATGTGACCAACAAACGCTCGGTCCAAATTTAGCCTTTCTGTACGTCCCACGCGCGTCGTTCTCCGGTGCTGGAGTGGTTCTTCTGCGTTCCGTGTGTCAGGCTCTCGCTCCGGCCATCAGACAGCAGAGATGGGCGCGGTGAGTGACCCTGCTCTCAGGGCTGGGAAACCCCACGCTGCGCCTGCGTCACCACGCAACTGATTCGACTGTTTTGGCGCGAAATCACGTTTTTGATATTAATGACGGTTTTAACGGTCATCAGCATCGTAAATACTATAACGTTTTTTATATTTTCATTTTTTAAATGTATACATAATGTATGTATATTTATTGCCGTATACGATGTATTATATTACTTTTGCATCAAATTACAAAAAAAAGAAGTAAATCACTACACACATACAAAAAGTGACAAAAGAACTAGGCTTTGTCCGAATTCACAGTAGCCTACTCATAAAAGAGTAACAAAAAGCAGTGGTGTGCGGTGGTGTTTTACAATGAGGAGGCAAAGTCCTTGCATTTTTATACAGCCTAAATGTAAATGTATGTCTCTGTTACACTTAATTTTCCTGGTTAGATAAACATTACATAGAAAAGAGAGACCAAATACAATTCTATTTTGTATTTTTACACTATGTAATGTTCTATTTAATAAAACCAAGTACAAATTTAATCAAATTAGTGTTTTTACAAATTTTTACGTATTCCAAAATGATAACTGAAAGTAGAAACAATTTAAACAATATATATTATTTTTGAATTAATGTTCAGCTTTTCTTTTTTAATAGTCAGGTTATTTTCATCAGTTATCAAGCTTACACACTGGACACTGTGACATAAACAAAGATATACCTTTAATTTGTACCTTCATTTTGATTTTGACACAATATATAATGCCGTGATAGTTGTTTACTTCTTCCCATTAACATGGCATGTCTTCATTCAGGCCGATGAGAACACACACGAATACAAGAGGTGGGATTTATCACACTTACCGTCATATCCAATCATAACCGATCATATCCTAGTGTGTCTGCAGGTATATGACATCACTTTGTTGGCCAAAATGTTGAGGCGAGTTAGCATTTTAGCACTTCTGGTTCCATCGTCCCAAAGTCAATGCGGTTTTGGTTAATGCTAAATAAGGTCTGTGGTGAACACAAGCGCAAGACACTTTCACGTTTTATTCTACGACATGAAATACATCAATATTACACTGAAAAAAAGATTTTTGCTGCTTGTACAAATTGCTTAATTAAAATGAGCTTAAGCAGCACAATTGCTATACATTTTGTCCTAACTTAATTTGATTGTGTTCAATCTGCTTAAATATATGTCAAATTGAAGTTTACTTAATCCGTTTGTGTTGGGATCACATGAATGATTTGTTTTGCATGAACTGAAACTGGGTGCTTGTTAGTACCCATCATGCTTTGCATTGGCTGAATCAAGAGAGAATAAATGTTGAAATTAAGTTTTATTTGATGGGTTTTTGAGTAAATGGGTTTTTGTCGAGGAAACCAGTAATGCGAACTGCCGGTTGGCCTGGTGACGTCATTCCTGCACCATATTAGTCTTCCCATTAATCCCATGCTTCATCTCTGCTTTTGAGAGCGCAAAAGCTAAAAACGTTTTAAAAACGTAAAAAAAACGAAAGTACCCGGATGATCTACTACATCCGGTGAGATTCAGAAGTGTGTATTTGATGGACACTTTACTATCCCATGAGGCCATGGGAGAGGATTTATGAATGACAGTGAAGCGATGCTGGTAGATCACATGATAATGACAACATGGCGGATGAAGTACGTCCAGATTACATTACTACACACACTCATACTAGATAGAACATACTTTTTAAGCGGTCGTGAAGTAATACTTATTTAAAATACATCAATAGAGTGAGCGATTTCGAGCGCAGCCGGTGTTTCTAATACAGTGAGTTAATACAATTAATCTAATACAATTAAAACAGTGTCTGTGGGAGTGACGGTAGAGTTGACATCTCTCTCTCTTCTGTTACCCTATCTAAAGAAGATGAGGTTATAGATTTTCTATATAAGACCCAGTGAATTGACCAAAGGATACAGTGATGGAGAGCCAGTGTTGCTTCTCCATCCCTCAAAACTGTGTCCTTACTGTTTTTTTGTATCATGCATGTAATAATTGTTCATGTGGGTATTTGCTGTTTTATGTCCTGTTGTTTGCTAACCTCACACCCTGGAAGGTGGGGAAATGCTCATTTATCAGTTGTGCAAATGACAATATTTGTTTTTTCTTGCCTGTATGTTTTATTTATTGATTGTTTTTAAACTCTTTGTCTTATCATTGAACTTAACTGAAACACTCTAAAAATGCAGGGTTGTTTTAACACAAATTTGGGTCAAATATGGACAAACCCAGCCATTGGGTTACTTTTTTTTAAATAAAATTTTTAACCCAATGTTTGAGTTTGTCCATATTTGACCCAAAATTGGGTTAAAACAACCAAGCATTTTTTAGAGTGTAAATGTCAATCATTTTATCCCTTAAAATTCATCTTTGATCACCAAAATGACATATATATTTTTTTAAACTTGAAAATAATGCTTTAAAATATCTTGAATGTAACTCGACACCCTTGCCTCATTTAGTATGCGCGGTTCTATGAATATGCAAATGAGCCCCGCCTCCACTCACTCCCTCAGCTCAGAGATCCACTGGTTGACGATCACACGTTGATCTGATTGGTAACAAGGTCGTTTGTGACGTCAGAAACACCAGCGATTTCAAACCGTGTTTTTGAGACTGTCTTTGGTTCACTGCAGTTTTAAGCAGAAAATACTCAGCAATGCTGTCCACTTATGAACTTACACATGGTTTGTCTTAAAGCATATTAAAAACACCACATAGACACATAAACAACATTAAAAGCTGGATTTTCACCACAGGGGGGATTTAAATCAATGGTTCCTCCATTGCATAACTGTGAAAACCCAACCTTTATTTTAAAGTGTGCATTTGAGGAGTTCAGTTTCAGCTTTAAGGTATTATTATAGTCAGATAAGAGCCCATATTATCAACATGATGGGAATGCTGGCAAATATAAGAGTTGGACAAATCCAACAGGTTCATTCACAGACTGTGTTTCTCTTTTGTGTGCATGAAGCGTATACACATCTCAAGAATATTTTCCCACTAAGAACCTTCTGAGCAATGAAAGGATGTTAAAAGTTTTTCTTGAACCATAGATGCAGATAAAAACATTTATGTTTTATGTTTTTAAACTGAATCTCCTGGGTTGGTGCAGCACTTGTTTTCGGGATATTAAACCTCGTCCCAGTCAGAGATGGATCTGCCGAGGACACAGTCTCCCCGGTACAGTCTGAGTTAGAGATGCAAGGGCCCAATAAAGCCTGTGGGTAATTGATCAGGGTATATTGTGTTCTAGTCTCTAAGTAACAGCGAATCTCCACGGAGGAACATCTCAGTCAAGCTGCGGGTGATAATGAGCTGTGGGTTTGAGATCCCCTCCTTTAGACGGTTTCTCGGTCCCTCGTCGGCTTGCTGTTCATTTGTTCCCCCTTTTCTCTGTGTGACAGGCCTCGCGTGTCGCCTTGCTAAACTCAGTCCAGAGGGATTTGCTCTCGGTGAGTGTTGTTGAGAGATGTAAACCAAAACAAGTGTATGATGCAACTAACATGCTGAGAGATCATGCTTTTAATGTCAGTTTTAGCAGACTTAAAGATTCACTCAAAGATTTTCAAGAGTAATTTCACTGGTGCACAAAATAAACATTATGCCTATAGAAAAACAAATGTTGTAGTTTTACATTACTCCACATGAAGCTACAGCCATTTTATGTTTGTCTTGAAAACTTTTTACCATTTATTTTTGCTACTTTTAATGTTTTAGCCCAAACTTTTAATCTTAAATCATAAAACCCACCATAAAAAATTAATTTATTAAATGTTCAAAAGTATTAATCTAGATTAATAATGAAATAATCACAAAGTAGTTCAATATTTATTGTAAATACTGTATATATTAGTTGTTTACTGGCATTTATTTATTTATTTATTATCAAAATGACCCACAGCTGTGGCACTATTTCCATTTTCCGAACAATTATACTCCAAAATAGGTTTTTTATAAAGTTACTGTACTTGTTTTACCAATGAGAACTGTATTAGTGAAGAAATTGAGACAATATGTGAGACATAATAAGTCAATCAAAAAAATAAAGGTAAATATCAATCATGAACAGAATCTAATCAAGCTGAAATTTGGTCAAATTTTGCAAAAAGTGTGAAACTATACAGCTGTTTAATTGTGTGAGGATACAGAATATTCTCGCTGTGAAATCAGCCTCAGCAAGACATCAATGTAATTACACAAACTGCTATTAAAAACAGACTTTCAGATTTTTAACTATACCTTCAGGAAAAAGACAATGATTTCTCCTGTGATTTATCAAGTGTTAGTGGACAAATTAGTAATAGTGAAGAGTAGTCTGTTTTAATGTCCAATTATGGAATTGAACAATTGCCCATGTGGTAAATACTGATGTTTATCACTTTTAAAAATGCTAAATAATAAGATATAAAGAATGCAGGCTTCAGTTTGCAAAAGTGAATTACCCAGAGGGAATTTGAATCGATTAATGCGTGAATAAAGGAGGAGATCTTTGATGAGAAACTGGTAAATCTGGTGCATAGGCGTCCACCAAATGAGTCTTTGCCATCAAAGGCGGTGTTTAACAATCACTCTGTAAGGAAGATCCTTTAGTAATGTTTTAAAGACAATGCTCACATTTATGCTATAGCTGCTATCCCTTGTTGGGACACTTGTGCTTCAGATAAAGACTCAACATGATGTTTATCCAGCTTATCCTATACGTTTACTCCATGCAAACCTGAAAGGAGGTTATGGTTTATGTGAGTTGCCATTGGCTATTCCTGGTGTTTAGTGATATAGAGACCCGAGAGGTCACAAGGAGAATCACACCGGGCATCCGTTTAAAGGTCGATCCAAAAGTGGTTCAATGCTTTAAAGGCAAGGAAGTGCAAAAGGTCCATACAACAGTGGATAAGAGCACAAATAAAAACAAAGGTTACACACAAACAGTCTAAAAACTATAGCACCGACTTCTCTCACTAACGTTTGGAGACTGA